TGGGGAATTCTGGGAGTTGAAGTCCACCCATCTTCAAGCGGCCAAGGTTGACAAACACTGCTTTAGTGACAATGGCAAAACCACTACATCCCACAAACCTGTATCCGACGTCTTTCTTTAAAGTTTAAAGCGATCGTAATAACTCTGCCACCACCATTACCCCAAAGGAGCTACTGTTAAGTTCTCGAGAGGCAGCGCTGCGAGGAAGAGAAGTGCCTCCTTTAAAGGCCTCCCACCGATAATTGTGGCAAGAGACAGCGCTGCGTTGCTCAAGCTCCGAAGTGGGCAATGTTTTGGCTTGCTTGAAAGGCAAAAGTGCACGTTGCCAAGAGGCAGAGAAATCACAAAGGCCGGAACAGAACTTACGAATCAGTCTCTGTGTGTTCCTCGGCACCTCTCTCCCGACTGTCACAATCTTGGCCTCTGTCTTTTGGGCCAGTCCTCGCTTTTTGTGCCAAAAAGCAGGCAAGTAAGTGATAAGGGGAATATAATAGTTAAGTGGAAAAGAGCTACTTAACAGAGAAAAATAGCCTTAACAGGGAAATGGGTTGCCTGTTGAACACCTGGGAACGCTATCTTCATCCTTACCGCTTGTCCGCCTTCACGTAATGCTGCTTGACATCTTTCAGGTAGCGGCTCATGTAATATTCCAGGGTGTTGATAAAAGTGCTGTCTTTGTCAACCAGCTGGGCAGCCCGCGGTTGACTGCTGAGCCAGTCCATCACCGACTCCATCTGCTCCTGCTGAATCTGCTGCAGACACAGGGAAGGGAGGGAGAGGAAGTCGGCCAGTTCTGCAGATCAAAACCCCGAAGCATCCTTCGGGGTTTCCCCACATCCCCCACTGGCTAGGGGCTTACCATGTGTTCGGTGAAGATCTGGAGGTCAGCAGGCACACCCTAGTGAGGGAAGGAAGAAACAACAGAGCTGGCTGGAAACCCCATGACTATTTCTTTATTTATTTATATTTCAAATCTGGTCACCACCCATCTCACTGGGAAGTGACTGGGTGGTTTAAAGTAAAAACCAAAAAATAAATATTAATTAAACTACAGTAAAAATATAATAAAAATACCCTAGATACCATCACCCGATCAGACACCCTCTGATTTGGGGGAAGTGAACTGAGTGGTGGAGCACACTAGGCTGAGTAATTTCCTCCTTGCCAGGCGTTCCCAGCAGCCATTCTATCCACCCTAAGAAAAGACTCACCTTCTCCGTTAGGTTGTAGATCACCCGGGTCAGTGCCTCTACAATGATCCGGGTGTTGCGGGTTAGAATTTGGGGGTTAACCCGTGGCCTGTAAAAGGGAAAGCAATGGCTGTGTCAGAACTAGCTTTCCTAGGGAAAGTGAGATGTGGGTGTGATACTGACGTGATGCTCCTGCACCTACAGCATTTCACACGCTCACACACGCACGATCGATCGATCCCAGTTTAGGCAATCAGTTCAACATTTGGATGATCCCCCATCAGCCTGTCTGTATAACGTGCTTGTCTTGAAAATTGTTCAGAAGAGGTATTTTGGAACATGCAGGAAGACAGGTGCAGCAGCTCTTTAAAGCAGCCACCTTTTTTTTTTCAGGGTCGTATTTTCAAAGCATGCACAATCCTAATGCTCTTCCATATAAAGTACATTCTCCTCTGAATGAGTTCTTTCATCTTCCCAGCGTAATCCCCTATTCGATTAAATACATCTAAACAATATAGAAAGAACGGGCATTCGCATTCCTACCTGTTACCTACATGGCATTCTGTCTAGCATGCTCTCTTCTCCCCCCAGCTTTCCCCAAGGTTCATCACTATGCAGAAGTGTAAGGATCAAAATCTCTTTAGACCAAGGTTTGGAAACGATCTGCATGTTCTTTTGATGGAAGAGGCCTCACAAAATGAGAATATGGCACTGGTTTCCAGCCCCAGAAGATGGAGCACTTTGAAACTCCTGACCATCGTGTCCTTCCTACTCACCAAATGCTCCTCTGAATTTTTGTGCCAAAGGATGGAGAGATATAAAAGCAAGCTCTACACTGTTAACATGCTGTTTTTCTGAAGAACTTGTGCAGTTCATGGTCCCAAGAGCACCAGCTAACGGGCACACTGTTGTTTCTTTAGATGGCAATGCAAATTTGTCATTCTGTACGCCATTAGTCACAGCAGTTAAATTCAGAATCGGATCTGACTGCGTTCAGAATCAGAACGGCTCTGATTACCAAAAGCGGGTGGCCAAATAACTGGGGGGATGGGGGGGGACACAAAACTGTGGCCTCTGGGCTTCCTGGAGGTGTGCGATTCTGACTGGTCAGAAATGACTTTCTCTGATCCAAAAATCGCAATTCTGGTAGGACTGGGGAGATTCATGGGCAACACGGAGAGAAGTGAAAATGATGGTGGATTTTAGTAGGTGAAACTGGTGGAAACCCACAACTCTCCTTCTGCCACACGACGATTCAAGGCGCTAGCACTCTGTGCTCTTTGAACCAAGCTTCCCTGGGATCGGAGGCATCTCTGCAGGCAGCCCGCTTCTGAGGCCTGGACCCAGAGCGTTCAGTGGCTTTCATGCTCCTGTTTCCTGCGATAGTCCAGACGACCACTACAGGCACCCGAATGTTGAAATGGTGGGCTTTGGGAGCGAGACAGCATGGCTGCTCTCCCGATTTCTCCCAGCCTCCCATCTTGGGGAGATGAAAGAAAACAGAGGGAGTGAGCAACCAAATACAGGCCCTTTTTTGCCTGACATGCCTCAAGGGGAGAGTGCGTTTCTCAGGCCACGGGTGGAAAGAGGAGGGCGGCGCAAAGCCTCCCCACCACCCCCTGCCAGCCTCACCCCATGCAATGCCTCCTCACCCAGCGGCTGACCTGACGTCCATGATGCTGTTGCGCAGGCCATCACGGTGGCTCTCCAGGTGGGACACCGTGAAGGCAGGGAGGCGCCGGATGGCGAAGCGCTCGTGCTCCCAGGCCAGCATGTCTTCCGCAAGGTTGATTTTCTTGTGCACCATGGAGAACCTCACCTCCGGGAAATGGTGGGCGACAACCTGGAGAACGGAAGTGAGACAACAGGGTCAAGATAAGAGCAGCACGGCCCCACGTTCTTCCAGAGTTTTCATTTCAGTAGGAACTGGCTTTAAAAGCCCCCATGCACACAGCAGCTTTAACAAACTCGCCAGAGGAGGAGTCTGCATTTCCTTCTGTGTAAGAGAGCAATGTTCTGTGGGTTTGTGCACAGCGCTCACCGTCTGAACACCCGGTTATTACTTACCAGGTGGCTCAATTCTGTGCCACAGCCTGTGTGATTAGACCAAAAGGCAATCCGTGAACATGGCTTGATTGATTAGTCTGTACTTTCACTATCGGGTGACTGCTGTTGTTGAACAATTCAGGCTTATGGCACCATGAGAAAGTTTTATTGGTACAGCCTTGATTTACATATTTTTTATTTTTTACTCCACGACAATGTGTGCGGCCGATGTATACGTTTTTATTGGATGTGCTTATGCATTTGATGAACTTGGCCTATGACCATAATAAACATTAACAACCAACTACCTAGGTAATAATATTTAATATTAATACTGAAAGGACACAAATGTGAAAAGACTTAGACATCTCAAACATAGGTGAGGTCTTCTAGGGCACTGAGTCATCTTTTCAGCCCTCCGCCGCGTGCCCGTGCTAGCTGGAAGGAGCAAAGGGGCAGTCCAGAAACTGCCAGGTTGGAAAAGGCTGATCTTACAGGTCTAAGATCTATGAAGAGCTGCGCATCCTTTCTTCTTCATGCGGTCAGCAGATGGCGCTATTTGCTCTGGCATGACTGCTTTAAAGACCACACTGAGATCAGAGTTGGGAAAGGGAATTCCATGAACCCAGGCTGGGGAAGAAGGTGATCTTCTCTCCACCAGAGCAACCACCCCAAAGGGAATCCCAGCCCCCTTTTACCTGTTCCAGCTCCTTCAAAAAGGTATGCTGAAGGGTCCCATCTTTCGGAGGCTTTGACACGTGTAGGTGAAGGCTGTTCCCTCTTCCCAGAGTATCCAGGCAGAGAACAAAAGCCACGTTATCCTGCAGCAGACTGAAATCTGGAATTAGACACAGGCTACACAATTATTAACATCTAGGGCAGTGTTTCTCAACCTTGGCCAACTGGAGATGGGTGGACTTCATGCTGGCTGGGGAATTCTGGGAGTTGAAGTCCACCCATCTCCAAGTGGCCAAGGTTGAGAAACACTGACCTAGGGGGATTAAAAAGGATTATGCAAGAGGTGGATACGCCCATACTGGTTACTTTTATCCTGCAGGAAAAGGGGCCTTTTCGGTTGCAGTGCCTGCCCTTTGGAACGCCATTCACCGCTGATATTGACTGATTCAACTGGCATGGCCGCCCATCTCAACAAGTGACTCTGGGCAGCAAACAAAATTAAAATAAAATAGAAGCCGTTGCAATAATACAAAAAGTAAAATACAAAACAGCCGAGAATAAGTCACCCATCGGGGTTTGTTTTTTATACTTGATTTTTAATGGATTAATTTATTTTAATTATTTAAGGGGTATTTTTAATTGTTGATGGGGTTTTTGATTTTAACTGTGACCCGCCCAGAGTCACCTGTTGGGGGGAGATGGGTGGCATACAAATTTAATAAATAAATAAATCATTGTTAAATTAGCCAAGAAATGGCCCCCTGCACACACTTGGGGCCCCAGGTCTGGGCACAGAGCCAGGTCTTTAAGGACTTAGGAAAAGCCAGCAGGGTCACGGCCATCCTGATCTCCGGAGGGAGAATGTTCCATAGGGTGGGCGCTAC